CCACTTCAAAGTCTAGACTTCACCCTCCTAAGCTCAAACCTAGGCTCTGATACGAACTGTAACACCCCCCCTAAAACCATGCTACTTAAAGCCTTAAAACATGCAGATAACTTAAACCAAAACACCAAACACAACGGAACACTGAGAGAGAAGATATATATAAAACGAGGAAACGGGGTGCTTTGCCACGCTCACCCAGAGGTGAACTTACAGGTTAAATCTGCATTGTTTAAAATCTACAACCATCCAATAGAGTACTAGTCTAGATTGGCTCACAGGCCACAAAGCATAAAAGGGAAACTATACTAGCTGGCACTAGACCGCGCACTCGTCTAAGCATCACCTGAAAGAAGCATATAAAACATGGGACGACGCCCGGTCAGCGAATAATGCTGGTAACCCACCAATACATGTGAAATATCATACATAGGTAAGATATAAGTTTGTAAAGCCATTTTCGAAACAGAATATATATATATATATATATATATATATATATATATATATATATATATATATATATATATATATATATATATATATATATATATATATATATATATATATAAAAGTCAAAAACCAAGAGTAATAGTCAACACAAGACTCAACACTCTCAACAAGAACACGGGAACGCATCCCAAGACTACAAGGAACAACAACGACTCACAAGAAGTCTTAAGGTACAATTTATCATCACACAATAGATTACTACCCGACATGCATAACTCAAAGGAATAAAGACACAACACATGCCTTTGTGACTACACACGTCACAAGAAGAAAACTCACAACAACGGCTACACAAGCCCTCGTGACATCACCCATCACGAGTTGATATGGCTTCCTTATGCCCGGTTCCAACCTTATGGCTACCCCAACCTTATATCTAGTTCCAACCTTTACCTCCAGGACCCCTGTACACCAAGTCCAACCTTATTCCCCCAGGAACCGTCGTTCCCCCTCTAACAGTCCCTCCAACAGAACCACCGATTTCATAGTACACGAGGGTACCGATCACACATGGCAACACATGCCCTGGATAACACATGTTATCCTAGAAATAAACACGTGAACCTTACACAAAGGTCACAAACTCCATAATCACGTCATGGCCACCACGAGGACCACTGCAATACCTTGGTGACTAGTGTCCCATACCACTAATCGTGCAATCCAGGTAAAGCCACACACACCACACCTCAACAGGAATCAATCAACGGATCACAACGAAGATATGAAACCATACTCAATCAAGGAATGGGTCACAGCCCAACAACAACAACGATGAATAACACAAGTTATCATCAACCAATAAGAAGGTACAAACAACACACACGCTAGCATTTAAACACCGAACTAGCATGCTTATCAAACGGGTAAACCAAACGTAGTTCCGAAGAACACACAAGACTCATCACGGTTCAACGAATCACAATGTTGAACACTTAGCACGATTCAATACACCAAAACCTACATGGATTCCTACCATATAGTTCTAGACATACGAAACATCAAGAAGATGCTTAAATAGTTCCACAAAAGGAACAACGGGAAGTCAAAAGACCAAATACCGAGTCAAAAGAATCACGGGGAACAAATCCCCCAACAACCACAATACGTACCCCGCGGGTGGGCCCACGGGTAGGCCCCTAACCCGTGGTTCCGCCCGCGGGTACAGGCCCTCCAACTTCATGTACCCCGCGGGTGGGCGGCGGGTTGGACCCCTACCCACCGTTCCGCCCGCGGGTACACATACCTGCACAAGTAATCCCTTCGGGGATTTTCAACTCCAAGCTCAAATTCAAGTCCAAAACATGTCAAATCTCACCCAATACAACAAAGTGACTTGAATTAAAGGAATAGCCAAGAAATGGCATACAAGAACCCTAAACACAAGCTCTAGATATGCATTTTCACAAGACAATGCATAAACACTCACATTTCATAGCAAAACACATGTAGAATCCAAGAAATATCCATATAGGTAAGCAAAATAGATTTTTTAGAGTATGGATTACCTCTTGTAGACCAAAAACCTTCACTTAACACCACACCAAGCTCCTATCAAAGCTCACCTTCCAAACCCACTTCAAGAACATACCAAAAGATCATAAAGATCCTATCTTTAAGAAAAGACACCTAAGAAAACACTAAAAATACAAGATGAACATGGATCTTACCCTCCTAGATGCCCAAATGTATGAAAGGTAGAATCTTGGAGACAACTCTTGAAGTTTTGGCAAAGCTTCAACTTGGCTTGGAAGAAAAGCTATCCACCTTTTTAGAGAGAAGATGGAGCTAGCTAGGATTTGGAAAGTGTAAGGATAGAAATGAGGATGTTCTTACTAGGTTAGGTTACAATACTAACACAAGGTGAAAATTCAAGAATACCCTTACTAACATAGAAAGGTGTAAGGAACAAGGGAACTCCTTACAAAGCTCAAGGTACAACTTTGACTTTGGGGTTGACTAGTCAATTACTAGTCCCCGACTATTAAATTTCAGGAATTAAATTACAAATTGAAATAGGATTAACTACTTAATTAATTCCTTAAACGAATTTGGATTTCGGGGTGTCACAGTAGCGGCCGCTAACTCGCTAACCTGAGGGTAAGCAAATGGTTGTTGAGAAGTTGGAACGGGGAATGGGTCTAAATCCCTTGGACTAAAAGTTCTATAGTGGATACCCAACCTAGCTGGCACCTAGGTTCAATGGGACAACTAAATTATAGAACGGAGCGTGTCACAGTGGGGGTCACAGTGGCACGAGGCTAGCACATTGATGCTTTAATGATTCGGATGTCGGTTGACATGTGTGAGTATGCGGGATACTCGAGAAAGAATCAACTATGTAAGAGAGAATGAGGGTCGCTTCAAAGGAGAATTGATGGGCACAATTCTTTAGAAATTCTCGCAGAACCAGGAACGGTGACCCACGACCAAAACGGGCACAGTCATGAGAACAGAGTATGGTTGGGAGGTTCCTGTGTGAGATATGTCATCGTCTACACAAACGGCAGTCAGTTCAAAGACATCGCGTTTTACCGTACAGCCACTAGAGTAAACATGTCTTCACAAGGAAAGGTTCAAAGGGTATAGTGATCCCTACCTATCCTATGCAGGGATCGACCGTTGAACACAGTTGTTTCCGATTTCAAAATACCCTAAAAATCAATTTTTCATTCATGTGGGGGATTGTTGGAAAAATATCATTAGAATGACATTTTAAGTAGCTATTTTGTGGTACAATTATCAGTGGGGTCCACTTCCGATTGGGTCGGGTCAAAGTGGATTCGGGTTCTTCGTAATGAGACGAATAGATTGATATATTGTACGCTCCAAACAGATAATGGGTGAATAAGATATTGATTCTCAAAGTAGACCCATTAAGTTGGAAAAATGAAGGGAAAAAGTGAAGCTTTTGTCCCACATTGGTTTGGGAAGAGGATTTGCCCCACTGTTTATACAAGAGCTCTTTTAAAGCTTATTGAATTGTATAGCATAGAGGTTTTTTTCGCGCGCACGGGGGAGGGGGGCGTTGCAAATCAAATCTCAAACTCAGATCGAAAAGGCTTGGATAAGCCGCTTTGGTGCTGTTTGAATGGGTTAATTCAGTTGTTACGGAATTAATTGTATATTAATTTCCAGAATTAATCTCCATGTTAAATAGTCAGTTTTGAAGGTTATAATCTGATTTTTAAATCGGATTTAATGCTATTGTTGAATGCTATTTACATCTCAGTCTCCTATATATGTTTTTTGTTGGAGCAGCAGATTTACAAGAACGAACAAGTGAAGCACAATAAAAACACACAACACAGGAATTGTTTTCTTCTCCTCAAAACTCTGCTCCTACTCCATTCTTTGCCTAACTGTGTTCAAGGCTTTGCTCTAGTTCGCCGGGTTCGATCGTTTGGGTGCTCAAACGTCGAATCGTAGCATGTTTTATCCTAGGAATCCTAAGCCACAACGCTCCTAGCGCTTTTGGGAGGTGGCAAAAAAGGTTTTAAGGAGAGAGTGATCGCTAAACTCGTGCTAAAAACCCTACACCAAACACAAGCCACTGTTTTTTCCTTCTCCGGTTTTGGGATTATGCTTCTAAGCTAAAATCCTTGCACTACACTTTGTTTTCTTTTGGTTGGAATTATATATGAGGATTATTAGTTCCATTTTGGTTGATATACATATATCTTTTTCATAGATATAAATGTATATAACCATGGGGATCTGATTTATATATATTTGTGTGTGTGTGTGTATATATATATATATATTTCGGATATATGCCGAATAATATTTTATATACTTTCTTGTGTATACAGGGACGGAGCCAAAGGGGGGGAGGGGGGGGCAAGGGGGCACCTGCCCCCCCCTCACCCCACCCCCACCCCTTATATAATTTTTGTATGTATATATGTATATATAGTATAGGTTTTAGTATTAGTATAAAAAAAACTAGTAAATATTAACAAGTAAGGAGTTAGATTAGTTGGTAGGGTGTGTGGTTGGTAATGAGAAAGGTCTTGGGTTCAAATCCTTGCATTATCATAGTTTTACATAATTTTTGAGTTCTTCCCCTATGGCTTCAGCACAGTCACTTTTTTGTTATTTAACATGTGTAATTTATAATGCGTTTTATATTCAAATTATTTTATCAAATTAATTATGGTTCATATTTTGTTATGAACATTTTTATAAAGTTTCGATGTGTTTTATTTTTCGCATATATCCAATAATATTTACAACTATGTTTCTTAGATAATGGTTATAAAAAAATAAATAAAAAAAAATTCTTAAGTAATTTATTTATTTTTTTAAAATCATCTCTTTTGTATTTAATGTTTTGCTTTTATTGTAAAAAATTTCTAAATATGTCCTACTTCTTCGCCCCCAGTCGAATTTCTGGCTCCGTCCCTGTGTGTATATATAAATATTATTTTGCGATATTAAATCGACTTTGGTTCATTATCTCCAACACATTCAACTTTGTAAATACTAAATACTCAAACACTCCACACACGTAATATATTCAACATACAAGTATACAACACACATTAATTAAAATACACCCCATTTATTGGGACAACATTTGTTGCTGTGACAAAATGACTAGAGCCATTTGTTGCAACATTTATTTCATATTATATATATGCTAGGTTGAAATTTGTGTGATGCACTATTTTTGTGGCATGAAAATAGTGCATCATACAAATATTTTCATTTAACACTTATGGGAACAGTAACATGTTTGTTGTTGACAGTTCCATTTGTAGCCACCCTTGCCCTTGCACCACCCGCCACAGTGCCCTGAGCAACCTCCATTCCAAGAGTTGCGTGAAACACATCCGCCATGGCCACGGCCACCGCCTCCCCCACGGCCACCGCCACTCCCATGGTGTTGTGCTTCAACCTCTGCATTCATATTATTTCGCAACAACGTCAATCATGGCTAACCACGACACTCACATTCATTTTATTAATTATTTTGAGTGTCAAGGAAAATCCACTACCACTACTCGATGGTGTGCCGGGGTAAACCACGTCTTGTGATCCTAGCCGGCGAAGGACCACAAGGAGGTTAAATAGTATAGTTCGCTCATAGCTGACTATTGGACAGATTAAGAAGCAGTGTTGCAAAAATCCTGCCTAGGTAATCGGTGCCTATACTAGGCGCTAGACGCTGATCGGCCGCCTAGCGTATCACCATAATTGGTGGTCTAGGCGGCTGGCCGGCTATGTGACCGACTAGACCTCCTAGGCACCGACTAGGTCGCCTAGTCGGCCGATTAGCTATTGTTCCCTTCTTTTTTTAAATAGGTTATTTCACTCAAAACAACAATCGTTTTGAGGTAAATAATCTTAAATTGTTCAAACTCTAGATGTTTTTTAGGGTAATATTTAATATTTTAGTATCAAACTATTAAAGTATTAAATAGTTTATAATTATCAAGTCTTTAAAATTTTAAAAAAGTTAGACAAATTTTTAAAAAATAAAAATATAATAAAAACTATACGGGCACCTAGGCGCCGATTAATTATATTGCTGCCTATGCGACCTAGGTGCTAGGTGCCCCCGAGTGCCCAATGAGCGTTTTAAGAAGTATGAATATTGTATTGAAAAAAGAATTAAAGATCGAAACCCACCATATGATGCAATGAGGATGAAGCAAAAGAGGATAGCAATAAAGGTCACTTTGTTAAATTGTGTAAGACCCATTCTTCTTCTTTGTTTTTTCTTTGTTTTTGTGTTTGTTTGAGAAAATTTAGGCCGTGAAGAGGGTATTTATAGGAAGATCAAATGGATTTGCGAAGATGTTTTGAATGGATCAAATAGTTTTTAAATGTTTTGTCATCATGAAAGTGACAGCAGATAGCAGGCTTGGCAGAGGAAGGCTTTATGTATAGTCCAAACGCACAATTTTCAATTGGTAAGCCTATATATGCCTCCGTACAAAAACAATTAATAGTTCTGCTTAATTTTCAATTTAAATAACCGTCGATAATAAATTTAGAACAAAAAGAACATCAATATATTATGGCTCGATTATGTAACTTGATTAAATTGACGTACCAGTTCATCCTATGATAGCTTCTGCTGATTTTCCATACATCTTTGAGCCAGTCTTATCTCCTATAATGGTGTCCACAATGTTTTATTTGTTAAGAATTAATTACATGACTACATTATTTTACTTTCGTTTTCTGTTAAGAATTAATTATATGACTACATTATTTTACTTACGTTTTCTTTTACGTTGTAAACTTTAATGAAAGCAAATAATTCAATTGTACTGAGGTGATCATATAACATTGATTTATTTATAGTAATAATTAAACACTTACGTACTATTACACCCAAAGTTATAATCAGTAGCGAATTGAAATATGACACCGATCGAGGTGTTGACCAACACTACTGGAAATTCTGAAATTTCCGACCACCTGAAAGTGATCATAAATCAAGTTGAATGCCTTGTTTCGACCACTTTTGGTATCCGGAAAAACCTTTGTTGCTATTTGCGACCACTTTTTGGACTTTTTGGTATCAACTTAATTTAAGATCATTTTCAGGTGGTCGGAAATTTCAGAATTTCCAGTAGTGCAAGTTGGTTATCACAATATACCGTCTTTGTTGGGTAAGGTTTGAAGAGTCGAGCCCTACATCCTACTAGCCAAGCATGGTGTTGACTATTATTAATACAACTCTAAGATTATATCGTATTAATTGAAGAGTCAAGCCCTACATCCTACTAGCCAAGCATGGTGTTGACTATTATTAATACAACTCTAAGATTATATCGTATTAATGTAACATTTAAGAGTGAAATTTTATCAAACTATGTAAAGAAAAAAGACATGACTATACTTTGAGTAGCAAGTGAATTCTAGAGCAAAGCGGAGAGGGACGAGAGATTACTCAATTCATTTTTGTCATATTTTAGTACGTCAGAATACATAGGCCAATGAGATTTATTGGTCGATCACATATTTACTTATTCAATCTCTAATGATATTATAAATTAATCTCCATATGCATGGTCAAGTAGTCAACCCATTTTAGTTGAGCGGTTTTGGTTGTGGCCACAAAATATGACATCAAATTCCTACGTATGCTATTAATAAAAAATAAAAAATAAAAAAGTCTAGCTTTCGTAGTTTTAGTTTTTTGTTAAAAAATTATTTATGCCCTCTTTTCTAAAATAGTTAGCCTATTAACCAATTTTGACTTGTTTAATTGACTTGGTTAAACAACCCATATGTGCGTTTGATTGATTAGTTTTTTTATGATAGCTTATTGTTCTAAAACACTAAATTCAAATAGCAACCGACAAAGTATGCTGTTAAGCTGAGGAAAATAGCCTAAGGACTCTCTTGTAATTCTACACATAGTTTCTGTTATAATTGTCAAAGCTGTGCTATATAACAGTTGCTTTCTAAAACTTGTTAGTGGTAACTTCTTTTTCATGATCAATCCCATCTCACCTTCTTTCTCCCAGTTATAGCTTTCTGCTTCTTCATTCCTTGCTGTGCAGCAGGCATGTGCTAAGCTTTCATCATGGTATCAGAGCTCCTTCGAAGCTATGCTGCAGCTGTTACAATGAACACTGAAGCCGACGAAAGAACTTCGAACAGACATGACGTTGATCCTGTGAAGCAGAATCCAACAAGTCAAAATTCGAATCAACGGAATGAAGAATTCGATGATCCTTTCTATATGCATATCATTGAAAATCCAAATTTGATTCTCGTTTCTCCTCCTCTATCTGAGATCAACTATACTTGATCGAGCAGATCTATGAAGATAACTCTTGAGATTAAGAACAAGTCCGGCTTTGATGATGGAACCTTACCAAATCCGGGAGAATCATATCCTAAATATGGTGTGTGGAAGAGGTGCAACAAGATTGTCTGCTCCTGGATCCTGAAATCCCTCAATTCCACCATTGCGGAGAGTATGCTCTACTTTGACATAGCATCAGACATATGGAGTGCACTCAGCAAGAGGTATTCGCAAGCTAATCCTCACAGAATTGTTGAACTCCAAAATGATATTTTCATAAATGTGCAAGGTAACAAAAGTGTTAATGAATAATTTACCAAGTGTAATGCTCTAGGGGACAGATGAACGCTATGAGACCTCTGCTAACCTGTGAGTGTACTCCTAGATGTTCATGCACTTTGATGAGCAAAATATAGAAACAAGATGATAAGATCATTAGGTTCCTAGAAGGACTAAATGATGAGTTTGAGTCTATAAAATCAGGAGTCTTTGTCATGGATCCTATTCCTAACATGGAGAAGGTCCTTAATATGACGTTGGGATAGAAAGAAAGCTCAATGGAGCCATCAGTCAAAAGAGTGTTGAACTGGTTTAACCAAATGCTATCCAAACTAGCCAAAGTCAGCTTACAGATGAACAAGGCATCATAGCTTTTTCAACTTCAAATAGCGGGAAGAAATTCAATAATAATGGAGGAAGAAATGTACCTAAGTTCACATACTGTGGTATGGTTGGTCACACTGTTAAAAAAATGCAACAAGAAGCATGGTTACCCTCCAGGCTGGGTTGCAGGTTATAAATCCAGAAACAAACAGAGTCAAGATACTCCAAATCCCTCTGTGAATCAGGTTGGGGATATAGGGATGACTGCAGATCAGTTTTAGAGGTTGGTGACCCTCTTACAGAACCAAAGCCAAGGAAATTAAATCAGCCATCAACCAGTGCTACTCTCATTATGAATAACCAGTGAAAGCAAGTTATTTCTAACCTTTATGTTAATAATGCAGTGAACAATATATGAGTTTTAGACTCAGGTGCAACAGACCACATTGCATGTTCACTAGAATATTTTGAGAGCTATTACAAAGTCCATGGAATATCTGTTAAGCTACCTAATGGGGAGAATGTGAATGTCATACATATAGGAGATATTAGACATCATTCAAATCTATTATTAAGTAATGTGTTATACATCCCTTCATTCACATTCAATATTGTTTCTGGTAGAAAATTGACAAAACAAGGATTATGCAAAATTGTCATGAATGCTGATTCTTGCACCATTCAGGGTAGGGCTGTGCATCGGACGGGTTCGGACGGATCGGTTTAGAAAACCGTTCATCCGCTCGGATTTCGGATTGGGAAAAACTACCCCAATCCGTTCGAATTAATAGGGAAATCCTATCGGATTTCCCATGTTCGGATACGGTCGGGTGGGGTCGGATTTCGGTTTGAACTCGGATTAATATAAAACATACCAAAAAAAAAAAGCAAAAATGAAAGCATCATCATAGCCATAAGTACATGAAATGGGTTTTGATACATATTGGATACATAATTACATATTGCAGTTTCCAACTGGTGTTCAAAATTCAAAAAGCAAAAATGAAGTCCAGTAGTCCACAAAATGAGTTTTGTCTACAATACTCAAACAACACTAAACTACTAACTACTAAGTACTAACTACTAAAGTACTCAGCAAGTCAGCAGTCAGCAAGTCAGCAAGTCAGCAGTCATCAATCAGCCTTCAGCAATCAGCATTCAGCCATTCCTCATCTTCCTGCTCAATTACAAAACCAGTAAAGACTTTAAACTTTAAAGCCAATAAATACAAAGAGAAGTAGAGAACTAATAATACTTAATAAGAAAGGCTCAGATTGCTTTTTTTCATATCATTTTAGAGTTGGGGGCAAATTGCTTCATGAGTTTTGTCTCAGAGCAACATACCAAACACTCAAACTCTTTATAATTCAGACAAATGGTGGAAGCATCATCATAGCCATAAGTCCATAACTAAACAGAAATGAGAATATGAGAGGAAGGGAAGTGATATACCAGAATTCCAGAATACCAGAGATGTAACTGAGTAAGGGCAGCAACATTTATAAAAAAGTTACCAAGCCACTTAGCAATTAGCAGTTCTGGGATCTTACCTGATTTGCCTCAAAGAGTCCACACATTTATCAATCAAACTAAACAGAAAGTCAGAAAGCAATGTTATATAAAAGTATTACAGCAATTGTTGGGAGTGTTCCAACAGTACTTGGTAAAGAACCAGCAGCTCCAGTGGACAATTCTACACAAAGAGTTTAGAAAAGGTAAGTAACAATTAACAATTTATAAAGTAGAAACCTACAAAAGATATAAAATAAAAATAGTACCCTTCTCTAATCTTTCAACATCATCCAAGTTTTCCTCCACAGAGATTGGATGATTGGGTGCCCTCAACCAATCTTGTGCACATACTAGGGATTCAACAATTTTAGGAGTTAATGAACTCCTAAAGGGATCTAATACCCTACCACTAGTACTGAATGCACTCTCAGAGGCAACAGTTGAAATGGGAACAGCCAGCACATCCCTTGCCATTCTAGAGAGTATAGGAAATCTATCACTGTTAACCTTCCACCATCTTAGAACATCAAAGTCCACATTTTCTTCATCTTCCACTATTTTTTCATTTAGATAAATCTGGAGTTCAGTTTCTTTACTGCTTCCACCAGCCTCCATTCTCTGTTTTTTAAGCTGGCTTTTCATTCTACCCTGAGGTTTTCCAACTGAAGTTTGAGAATGGACTGGTTCAGATTGGGTAGATTGCACAGTAGGGGATGCAGACTGCACACTGTAGGTGGCTGTATAATCATTAAACAGGACAACCATAGAAGATTGAACCTTTTCAAAGCATGATTTTCCTTTTTCATCACCATACAACTGAGCAAATTGGGCAGGCATGTACTCAATCTTATCCCTAGGATCCAGAATATTGGCATAGAATATCAAGAAGTTCATTTTTTCAGGATCTCCCCAATATTTTTCAAATTTTTGTTTCATATGGGACCCCATATCCTATAAACAGACATAACACAAGAA